ACTCCAGCAGAATTCTGATTTTGGTGGTTAAGAAAGCAATATATAGTAATATCTGATTCTTCAACATGATTGTATGGTGCACCATAACAAGTCTGATTAAAAAATTAAGTTGTTAGGACTTCTATTCCACAATTATCTTAGTATTTAAACTATTTGATATTTGGATTTGAAATAACCCACATCCTCTAAATTACCATTGTGCCCATCTTGCATGTGGATGCCTAAGAATAACGTACACTATACAGTGACTTTAGGAAAAGAACAGGAGACTTACCTGTTCTACATTTTTGGCCATGCCTGTAACTATCCTGCTTAATGCTATAGTTTCTAACATTACATACCTTTAACACAGATCTGTCCTTTTTTAAAGTTTGGCCTTGTAAATTATTCCTATATCCAATAGAGGTAAGTTTACAACAACAGATTTAGTTGGGCCGATAGCTACATGTTTTCATATGATGCTGGTTTCTCATCCATTATCTGCTTTATATTACTGACATTTATAGAAGAAGGAACAAAGTTATAGAACATCTGGTTGATATTTGAAAATGCCATCAACTTCTGATCACCAGTGACACTGAGGCACAGCATGTCCTTCAGTTCCTTTGGCAACTCATTGTGGCGTGGAGAACAGGGTCAGAATGTAAAAGGGAAGAAAAGATCACAGGGAGTGGACTCAGTCAAGGAAGACTTCCTGCAGGAGTTGATACTTGAGCTGAGCTGTCGTGGAAGTAAAAGATCTCATTTGATTGGGAAGATAGAAGGTCACTCTAGGTAGGGTAGTATCAAGAGGGAACAAAAAAGGAGCTGGGAGCAGTGAGGGCAGGATAGTAGTGCTGTAAGGGCTGCAGAAATTGGGGCTTTTTAACTCTTCTTTGATTCTTTTTTTTTTTTTTTTTTCTTCTTCTTTTGCCTTCCTTTCTTTCTTTCATTCTTCCTTCTTTCAAATTACTCTCTTCTTTCTTTGTTTCATCTTTTTTTTTTTTTTTTTCATAATGATGATGAGAGAAATCCTGGAATACCAAGAGACAGAAACTAACCAAGGGGTTTCCTGGTTGTATTAGCAGTGCTTCCAGCTCATAATCTAACATGGGGCTTCTCCACCCTGGCGTGGTTCCCTCAGCAACAGAACTAGAGAACAGAGGGTTTTTGCCTTCGCCTTTGCAAAGCCTCTGCAGACCACTGGGTGACCAGACCTCAGAGAGGAGTGTTTTGACCCTTTTTTTCCCCAGATTCTCATAGAGTAGGAATTAAGGGTCCTGGTGACTTCCAGCCATACTATTATATTACCCAATCGGGGTTGACAAAACTTTCCCTAAGTTTTTAGAAATCAGGACACATGTTTGTTTTTAATAGTCAAGATCAAGTAAGTACAATTTCTAAATAACAGAGACTTTAAGAGATTTGCAGACACTGCATGTTCCCTTCCCCCTTTGAAAATATATAAGCTGCCTTTTTTTTTTTAGGTAGGGTACAAAGTTCCTGGTGTCCTTGCTTAGGAATAAAAGACAAACGTTGCAAACTGTGTATTCCTTCTGCATCTCATGAAATGAAAATTGTTGCATGGTGATGTCAGGACATCTTAGTCCCTATGAAAGATATTTATTCTCCAGAGAGTTGTTCAAAACTGGAGCATTCTGGAGGGACTTAAATGCCTAGCTGGAGAGCGGGTGTTTGCACATACATCATGAATAAAAATGACCTAATCTTACAAAAGAGTTAAGTCAAAAAAACATATCCATCAGGAAAGGATTCATATTTTTATATTAAAGAAGTCATTATTCTTTCTCTTCTTAGCAAACCTCCCCAGTACCTGTAGAGTACATATAACTTACCAAAATGTAATGTGTACAGTTCTCACGACCACACATTATATAATTCACTTAAGAGATGTGATATCTTTTATGTAGACTGGCAGGTTGTTGTAGTGCTCAAATTCATCGTGATAGTATAGTATCTTTTTTTTTTTTAATAATTTGAAACACATTTTCCCCTTTAAAAAGGTCAAGCTGTTTGTAGGGGGAAAAAATCCCTGAATCTTTTATAAGCTGCTTATACTCGTAACACAGATTAACTTCCCAGCACATAAAGGGAATACTAGAAAACCCTTGTGTGATTAAATATGCACCTAGAGGATTAAGTTTTTCCACATAATTTTCAAGCCAGAGCTATTAAAAATGTCTCAGCATTTCTGTACATCCTGATTATGGGGGAGGCCTTTACTCATTCTGCCCTTGCTGTTAGTTTTTCCACTTGTTAGAGTTGCAGCACTACAAAATTTTCTGTGGAAACATAGGCTTGAAATCTGAAAGTTTTAATTAAGGTCCAAGAAAGTATGATCTTGGAAATTATTCTTATTTTTTCTAAGTTTTTGTCCATTTTACAAACTTACCTCTTGTTTCACCTTACTGTAGCTATTTAGTGAGCCTTGTGGTTCACTCAGAAATAAGTGGCCATTAAACACACAGTGGTTATCATTTCTGAAAGGATCACTTAATGCCCATGCACATTTTTCCTGAGGTAACATTCTGGTTTATGAGGAATCACATTATCACTAAGGGATTTGGTATTATGTACCTTTCTATCCAGATACTGGATTGTCAGTTAATTTACTGTGTCAGATCAGTCAAAGCTTTACCTTGTATATGCCTCGGGGCGTAAAGGTCATCCCTGCTCCTCCAGCCCTCCCGGATCCCCAGTGTACCTGCTGCGCCCACCCGCACATGTTTCCTTGCCAGTCCCTTCATCGATACCTACCAGCCCCTCAATTTCTTTGACCTCTGGCTTTGTTACCTTTATCCTGCCAGTTCCCCAAGCTCAGATGGGTCCTGAACCTCCTTTCTAACAAAAGTTCTGCTTTTTGTCCTGTTCAGATTGCTCCGCACTCTTTCCATGCTGCTGCTGATCTTCCTTCTGCCCATTCACCATTCAGCTGTCCCAGATCACGCCATCCTCCTCAAGCTCCATGGCCCACCCCGTAGCCTCTCTGGCAGATGACCTTGCTGCCTGCTGTGCAGACCCTAGAGCTCCTCACCCCTGCTTCCCTGCTCCCCTAGCTTATCACTGCAGCCACTCTTCTGCCGCGGCAGAGGGAGGGTTGCCCCTCTTTTCTTGCTCCAGCTTCTTCGTCAGGACTTCAGGGTTCTTCCTTTTCTGAGACCTTTCTTCAGCACTGGGGAGAAAAAATAAAATACCTAAATTAAGATTCCTCCACCTTTATTTTTAAAAAATTAATACCAGGCACATTGTCTGGACATTGCTTCTTAATACACCTTTATGTCTTCGAAATCACTTTATAGCAATACTATAGAGCTGCCTCATTCTTTTAATGGATCCAGATTATGCCCTTGATTATAAACACACTGTAATTTAATCAGTCCCATATTAAAGAGTGGTTGCTTCTAATCTTTTGTTGCTGCAAACAGTGTTTCAGGGATCATCCTTACACATCTGTTTTTGTGTCCATGCACAACTGTATCTGCATAAAAAGTCTTTAAAGTGGAATTACTGAATTGCAGGGTTTATACATTTTCATTTCTGAATAGAGAAAATTAAAAACATTTTCTGTTGTGTTATTGCTTCTCCAGCCTTTCTAGTTCATGTGCAGTTGATTTCTCAGATTTATCTTCAATGTCTGCTATCTTTTTGATACATTCATGTTTTTATTTCCTCTGAGTTCTGAGAGAGTTTCTGGGGCATTCTGGTTCATTGCTTGCATTCTACAATTCACAGTTCCTGTGATCACTGAATTCCTAAATATGATGATCATTTTTTTGTTTGCTTCTAAGAACTCATATGTTTTCATATTGCTTTCCTGTCAAGACTACCGGCTTTTTTTCTTTTCATCTTTTTATTAAAGGGCAACATATATACAAAAAGTGCTGGATAGTTTTTCACAGAATACACCAGCACCTAGATAAAGAAATATCAGCACCCCAGAACCTTCCTTGTGCCCACTTCCAGTTACTGTCTCTCCATGGGTAATCACTCTTTTGACATCTAACACCATAGATTCATTTTCCTTTTTTTTTTTAACTTTATGTAGTTATACAGTACATACTGCCTTCCCCTTTTGTTTAATATTATGTTTGTGAGAATTACCTATATTGTTGCATGTAGATGTAGTTTGTTTTTATTGATAGATAATATTCCATTGATGAGTATATCACAGTTCATGAATTCTATTAATCAACATGAGTAGTTTCTACTTTCAGCTGTCATGAACAGTGTTGCTAGGGACACTTTCGTTTGGGTCTTCTAATGCACATACGTACTTTTTTTGTTGTTCAGTGGGTATATATAGGAGTAAAACTGCGTGGTCATCAGGCATGTAAGTGTTAAACCTCTAAAGTGGGTGTCTAATTTTGTACTTCCATGAGAATCCTGTTGTTCCACATTCTTGCTAGTGTTTAGTATTTTCTGTCTTTTTTATTTTAACCATTTTGCTGATTATAAAGTAGTATTTCATTGTGGTTGTCATTTTCATTTCCTTAATCACTTGTAATGTGATGCAACGTATCATATATTTATTGGCCATTTGGATATCCTCATTTGTGACATGCCTGGTAAAATTTATTTTTACATTTTAAAACTGTTGTTTTTTGAAGTGCATTTGGCTAGCCGGCAGTCACACACTTCTCATCCTTTTGTACCTCCCTTTCTCTTTATCCTTTAAAATTTTTTCTTGGCTCTTCTCCTGCCTGTTATTTTTTTCCAAACAAGTGACCTTTAAGGCCAGTAACCCTAACTCTTCTAGAATTTTTAATGAATCTGCATGAAATCTGAATTTTATTTGAGAAAAAACTGTCATCTGATATTGGAAGATGATCTTGTTGTTGTTTCTAAGAAGTAAAAAATGATAAGCACTAAACCCTCCCAGTTTTTGCCCCATTTAATTCTAGTTGTAGTTTCATTTTTGCCAGGTACTTGTTAGAAGTGAAAATCTTTTAATATGCTTTAAAACTTGCAGCCCCCTTTTAAACACTATAAATGTTTTTCAGGTTCTTGATCAGTATGAAGGAGAAGGATTTAATTTCCTAGCGAAGGTGTTTAATTCTTCACATTCCTTCTTAGAAGACTTGACGGGTCTTACCCTGCTGCATCAAGAGACCCAGGCTGCTGAGGTAAGACTAAAACAGGCTTTCTATCCTGAGGAGGAATGTATTTGAAATCTATTTGATATGCAGATTTACAGAAAAAGAAAGAAGCAATTAATCATTTTTTTCCCTTAGACCAAACATTGCTCAATAAGTGTGCTGGTTAATCAGAGAAGAAGGAGCCTTCTGCAATTGCTGGATGCTAATATGTGGGTTGCTGTGCAGGAGGTACCTAGTGCACACCGTTGCTGGTGAAGCACAGGCTATCGATTTCCAATCCCCTTGGTCCTTACTGAAGTACACCAGGGCTCTAACCACTGGGGAGTTGGCCCTAATGCCCACAATCAAAATGCAAGTCAGGGAAGACACTGGACTCTGGCCGTGTTTCTTTGGAGAGAACATGCCTGGCTTTTATTTTACACTTTCATCTGTCTTTTTAGGCCACTGAGCCCCACCCTGAAATGGCTTACCCAGTCACAACCTGAGAGAGCTATGCTTTGTCAATTAGAATATCTTGCAGATCTTCATTTTTTGGGTCACTACAATTTTTTCTTTTTTTAAAGACTGGAATTACAAAGTGCATTCTCACTTTGTGTTTTGAATGCACACCAGTCTTTGAAAAGGGTATGCTATATATGGTATGAAGCTTTTCAGGTCACTAGGCCAAATGGACAGTTCCCTCAGAAAGGATGAATGAGATTAAATGAACTTAAATCAACATTTGTCCCCTCAGTTACTTGACTAAAGAAGCTCTTAGGAAAAAAATGTGATCTGTCATAGTGTGTCCACAAGCTACCTAAGCAAAACCTTGAGTGCCTATGCCCTGCAGGAGTGGAATGCCTGCAAAGTTGCCATTAGTCTTACAGTCCTATTTACTGACCCCCTCCCCACCTGCACCCCTGCAGGGGGTTGTGCATCCTCACCACTGGGGATGAGTAGATGGTCAGGCCTATTTTGGATCAGCTAGTGGTGAACTGGCTGCTGTCTAGAAGGTTGGAGCTAGCACTGAGTGTAGGGAAGTCATGTGGAAATGCCAGTCAAATCCTCTGAGGCTTCAGCAGACTGAGGTGAGATATTTAGGCACCTCAGAGAGGCAAGATAGTGCCTCTCTCGTGCTAGACTTCGAACTGAAAGTGGTCCCTCTTTAACTTGCTTTGGTGTCTCCTCGGCACTCAGTGGGCAGTCTTCCATGTATGACCAATAGATAGACCTACATAGAGTCTGTTAGCCTCAGTTTCAGGAGCTGAATGGCATCTCTGTAGGACTTTAAGAGACATTTTCCCCAAACTGTGTTTCCAGACAGGGTTGAGAATACTGTGTTGTTGTGGCCACCATTTTGTCTTCTGAATAGCACTGTACTGCCTGATTCTAAGGGAAAAACAACTTACGGGTCTTCTCAACTGTGCAATAGTTTGACTAGTTGGCTCCTGGAATTTTTCCACCAAGCTAGAAATAATTCACATACTTCTCTTTAGTTGGCTAGAAGAATTGCAGCTTGAAATTGACCCCATATTTCACGCCTTAAGCAGATGGCACCATAATGGGGCAGATTCCTTGATTCAGCTTGGCTTGTTTTGTATTTTAGTCAGTCAAATGTTAATAGCCTCTTCAAAGACCCAGGGAGAGAAGATGAAGGGTAAGAGAGGAATGGTGACTAAATAGATGGTGGGGCAGGAGGGGGCGTGGTTTTATCCACAAGTCGGAGTTTTCTTTTTGAAGTTTTCCTCTGATAATTATATTTATGGTTTTGGAATCATAAACCCCACATCATATTTTTGATTAGAGGTGGTAACCTGGTTGGCCTACAAGCCAGATGTGGCTTGCAGATGTGTTTTTTTTGGCCTTCCTTCCTGTGTTAAATTCTGAATAAAGCCAACATCTAAAAATTATGAATTTTAATATAAAAATATGCATTTTTCTATTTCTACCTTGTTGAAAAATCAAATCTGGCAGCTCCAGGTCTGCCTTCCTTCATAGTGAGGATTAGCTGGAGCCAAGATACAAATTTTATAGGTAAATAATGAACTTGATATGAAATTTAAAGGTATAAAAAATACTCTGGAAAGGAAGTCTTACTTCTATATCTGTCTCTTACCATCTTCCTGGAGATAAACAGTGGTGCTAGTTTCTTGCCCAAAGGTATATTCATTAGGTGACATTCTCTGTCTAGGTGGTGCTCTTAAGTTGATGGCCCTCCTAAGTATTAGAATTTGCAACCCTTATCTGAGAAAAGGATCATTATTTTTCTTAAGTATCTCTAAATAAGACTGTGTTTTAATATAATGCTCACCAGAGGCCCTCACAACAAAAATCATTGTCCTCTATTATTTTACATTACTGTGAAAAACATGTGTGAACGACTATATCAGAAAATATATGCAGTTCTGTGTGAAGCTAATGTTCATTTACATATTGATTCCAATGCATTTACAGATACTCAGTAATAAAAATACAAAATTCTGCATCCCATAAAGAAAGGTCCCAAGTTATTTTAGCAATGTAAGCAAAAATGCCCAATTAATTCTCGTTGGGCTGTTTTCATACATCAGCATTGAAATTGCAAAAGTTTCAACCAGATAATTACATGTGACAGTATCACTTTATACATTGTTTATAAAATAAAATATGTATTTGTATAAATTTAGCTTTTTTAAAAAAATTACTGAACGTCTTTTAAAAATTTGATAGCAAGTCGCTGTGCTGGTAACTGAACACAGAGGTCGATGAGATGAGCCCATAGTCTAGTGTGAGAAACAGATGTAAAGACCGTGCTCTAATGTCATCAGAAGTGCTTGAGTCATTTATATATTAAGTGCTAAGAGAGCAGTTGCTCCTGTCTGGGCAAGTAGGGATGTCAGGGGAAGCTTCACACAGAAGGGAACAAATATTCCTGTTATTTTTTTTTCAGTTAATTAATTTTTAAACATTTTTAAATTGAGGAATAATTGACATATTAGTTTCAGGTGTACAATGTACTGATTTGATATTTGTCTATTTGCAAAATGATCGCCACAGTAGGTCTAGTTAACATGCATCACCCGTTAGTTTTAAAGGATGTGTAGGCTATCTTTCAAAATAAACATTGGATTTGGGTAGGGAAACAAAAGGCAGGGAAGCTGGGGAGAGCATTTTAGGCTGACTAAAGGTCTCAGGGGCCAGAAGTCTTTAGGGTGTTTCTCAGAATCACGAGCATGTAGTTGGAGTTAGTGACCTGAAATCAGATAAGTTTTTTTTTAAATACCAGATTTTTGAGTTATAATTCACATACTTTGAAATCGACCCATTTAAAGTGTACAATTCAGTGTTTTATCGTGTGTTCACAGAGTTGTTGTGCAACTACTCTAAGTATATATACTACTACTACTAAGTTTAGAACATTTCCATCACACCAGAAAGAGTCTGTACCCATTAAGTGGCTCCTCACTCTGCACTCCTGCCAGGCTGGCAGCCACGGCTCTGGATTCCGCTGTGGATTTACCTATTCTGGTTGTGTTACAGAAATAGAATCAGACAATATGTGGCTCTCTGTGTCTGGCATCTTTAACTTAGCATGATGTTTTCAAGATTCATCCATGTTGCAGCAAGATAATTCCTTTTTAGTTAAAGACAAAAAGTTTTGATGCCACCAAACTTGCCCATATCCTTTAACACCTGTAGTCTGTCTCCTGAAATACAGCCCTTTTAAAAAGGAGGAAGGTAAAGCTGGCCCTACTTGAAACTATGAACCCCATTCTTCCTGTAGAGAGGGGCACCGAGGTAACAGATTGGAAGACATATTCCAGATGGAATCATCTGTTTAGTGAGATTGACTGATGCAGTCCAGTTTTTTTGCATACATTCTCCTCCCATCATCAAATACCCAAAAATGACTGCCTCTCTTTTAGTCTAGGCTACTAGTGTAACCACAGTGCTGTTAAGACTAAGGAACAAATCACCAGGTTGGTTCCTGTTGGAGGAGGGGTCGTGGTGCAGAGTGGGGATTGGGAATGTGGTGGAGGGGGCGGGAGACTTACAAGGGTAAGTTTGTTTGGGGTAATAACTTTGAGACAGTGGAACAAATGAGTGAAAATGACTGGATGGTATGAGAAATAGTATGGAGATAGAACTTGGAGAAAAAGAGCAGAATGGGTAGACTGATTTAGCAGATAAAGGAAAACTTCCCTGTTTCATTTGGTGCAAGGAGGAGAAGCTATAGAGCTAGCATGTAATAAAAATACTTTAGCGAGAAATATGTGTGGTAGATTAGTTTTATCTTGAGTTGTAAATTAAAAAATTAAGAAGTGGTCTTGGACACAGACCCACGTTCTTTGTGACCCACCTAACTGCAAAATTATACTTACATTCTGCCCATATGGTATTAGAAGTCCCCATGGAAGACAGGCCCCACTTAGCTTTTGCCCTCTTAAAATGCTGTCATCTGAATAGGGAATTTTGCATGTAGTTCTGACCTTTACTGTCAAAACCCTTATTGGGAATGGGTTTGGATACTTGGAAATTGTCCCCAGTACCCAGTTACTGCTAGATGTCTGTTTGTCCCAGTTGAAAGCAAAAAATGGCCTTAAAGTTGATGAAGCACAAGTTGTCCAAGCCATAAAGCTGTTGAAGTGCTCACCAAATCCGTTTTATATGGCTGAATTTGTTGAAGAAAGGCTCAGAGTCAAACATGCAAATGTCTTAGCCATCTCATCATAAGCTTTGCCATGACGTGTCTTCTCAGGGTTCTGTTTTTCAAGTATCATTTCACTTGAACTGATTTAGTTCCAACTGTGGACTGAACAGTATGCTGTGGGAAATGCCAAATAAATTTCAGACTCCATCTAGCTAGAGAGAAAAAACTGATCCTTAAGAGTTAATAATAAAAGCTATGTTGGTATATCCTTGAGAAATTCAAATTCCAAAGTCCTATAACCTGACTTTGCAGAAATGCTTTATTCTCATTCTTGAAAGTTGGCAAGTTCCATAATTCCAGGATTAATTTTAGGCTATGTTTTCTTCTCTTGCTTTGTCAGTATTATCAACATTTGATG